TTTGAAAAATAAATTAGGCTTAAAAAAAGTAAAACTAAACTGAAAAATATTATAAAAGAAGGAAGCCAAACTTCTTATTCCACGGATACCTTATAATTCTCGTCTAAAAGAGTGCTACCAACAAAAAAGAATAATACACAAATGATACGCCTGGACCATCTTAAACTTTTTGCCGAAGAATTATACACTAACAAAATATTAAAATATTAGCTACCCAAAAAGATAAAAACACACGTTTATTACGTTAAAAGTGCTCCTAAAATTGATAATAACTTTCGGTAGTCCTATATTAAAGTAAACAAAAAGAATATTGTTAAGTAAATAATTATAAATAGAAAAAAATATATGTAATAAAAAAATAAAATTTATGTCATAAGCATTGAAAAATAAACTTTTTATTTCACGAATATATCATAACCCAACATTTCTCCAGCAGTGTTACCCAGAAAAGAGAACAAAACAGAGATGATATATGATTGGATTCCTTTCAACTTTTTACCTAAAGATCTTCATGATAACAATTAAAGAAAATTTTAACTAGTTAAAGAAAAAACACACTATTGAATATATGTTTATTTACATGATTTTTGCCATTTGAAATCTACAACAACTACACAAAAGTAAGTATATCAGTTTATAAATGATCAAGACTCTTTTATGTTATAATTCAAATCAGAAGAGAATCAATAGCAACTAAATATAACATATGCACAACTTGACATGGATATTAAAAACGACCATTAAAAGAGGACAATTTTATTGTCCTCTGCATGACATTAAAAACAGCCTCAAGTATTGCTATATTAATGTACACATAAAGAAACTCATTGACGAAATAATACTAAATTGTTTCAATTTATAATCATTTCAACTCATGAAAATGTTAAGAACGAGATATTCGATTTCTGAGTTGATATTTAAAGTTTACTCTTTTTCCTTGTCAGTTTGTAAGGGTAGTTGTAATTTATTTGTTGTAGTTTGCCGTTATTGTGTTTGAGATGCTTGTTTGCTAAAAAAGTTGAAGAGCTAAATGTAATTTTTGTTTTAGTTTAAAAGCTATTAGGTTTCTAAGATCTTCAAAATAAGAAAATGAACGATAACTCTAAATGATAGGTTTCTTAAAATTAAACTCTTAAAATAAAATAATCTTCCAATTTAAATCTAAAGTAAAGCTAATATGTGATAAATTTTTAAATTAGAATTTTTCTGTCGCAGAATTTTATGTATTTTAAAAACTATTAGTTTTTTAATGAAGTAAGAAAACTTGGCTCTCCATCTACATTTTGTATTTTTTTGATTAAATTATGTAGTTGAAAAATTCATGGATATAATCTTGCAGTAGATTTAGTTCGAGTGCCAAAAAAAATTATTTTTTCATTGCAAGTGCGGCATTTTGCAATACGTTCGGATGCCACATTACATAAACTATTAGGGTCCAACACACACACTTAATGCAGCAAATGAGTATATTTATTGCGAGGTATATTAACCTGCTGCCTAACTCTGATGCTCCAAACTCTTTTTCATGTTCTACTAGTGATGTCATCTTATAAACTACCTTTACTTCATACTTTTATTTCCCAAACTTTTTTTTCAATTACAAATTACTTTAAATTGTTATTATATTCAAACTATGTATTATCTTTTAGAACTAAATCCAAAAGAAAGTCACATACATATGCAATCTTTTTTTTCTTCTCTAGCTTGCCTTTGAAACGATAATTTACCACTATCTTGGAGCTAAAATCAAACAAGAACTTACCTCCACAAACCTACTACTAATTATTCTATTCCTATTAGCTTCAATACATAAAAAATCAATCCGTGTCCACTTCCTAACATTACTCAACAATCCTAACCATCTAAGTTTAAATAAACCACTGTAGATGATACCACATAACAACCAACAACCACCATTTTTCTAACAACGGGTTATGACCAAAAAAAAAAACAGTAAACCATACAAAAGAAAGTCATCTACCTCCAAAAAAACTACAGAATGATTCTAATCATCTTAAAACACCAATTACATCGAATATCTTATAACAATACTAATCGATCATTGTGTAAGAGCTAAAATCAAACAAAAACTTTCTTGCCTATCACTAGTACTCTATACCTATCAGTTTTAGTACATAAAAGTCAATCAACATAAATTCCCAGTCTTATCTGAAAAAAGCAATCCTAACTATCTAGTTTTAAATGCATCACTAGCTCGTCACTAAATACTCGATACCTATCAGTTTTAATACATAAAAGTTAATCAACATTCAATTCTTAATCTTATTTGAAAATAGCAATTCTAGCTATCTAATTTTAAATATATGTCCAAGGATGATATCATATATTTGGCAACAATCACAACTCATTCTGTCTACTAGCCATGATCCAAAGGAAAAATCAGCAAACCATACAGAGAAAAGTAAATTATCTTGAAAAATTTATTAGCTTATTCAAGTTACCCTAAAAATACCAATTGCATTGCATTTCTTAAAAATAATATTGATCAACCATTATCTATGAGTTAAAGTCAAAGTTATAACGAGTGCATATTATTTTGCAAATAGTAAACAAGTTACTTTCAAGCAACTGACGAAATCATTCAATCGCATTCTAAGATTAAAGATTAAGTTTAAGAATGATTAAAGAGAGAGAGAGAAGAGATACTGAGTGTTTCAGGAAGCCACCAACTGGAATTGAGCAAGTTCTCAGCTTCCTGTCTACGGACATACCTTTCATGCTATTTCAGTGCCAAAGTTCACTAGCCCATGTCGACAGGTGTGGAGGAAATATATTAGGATGATCACTGAATAGTGAAGGGAACATCTCATCATACTGAAAATGCAAATGTTGCAACAATTGAAAGCATAAATGAGAAGTATGTGACGCTTTAGAAAATATTCCCAATTATGAAAATATTTAAAGTAAAGTTCACAAGATAAAATCGTTTCTTAAGAAGTTTTAAATTGTGAAAGAAATGATAAGTTAAAGATTAAAAAGGACTACATTTCCATCTATGCAAAAGAGCTCCAAATCCAATCGTTTTTCTTGCTTTTATTTTCACTATATTTATTATTACTATAACATTTTTACGCTGTTAGTTTTCAAAAAAACCCGAATACTCTGAATACTTTGGGAGGGTAATCAATCAAGCAATTCTTCTTTTTGAAAGTTCCCTCAATCGGAAAAGGGTAATATGTTCATATTTGATTCATACATTAGCATATAACTATGGAATATCCACAGCATTAATATTCTATTCCCAACCCACCTGGGGCTCAAAGGAACATGTCAAATGTATTTAGAAACAGAGACCAAAAGATCAACTTTGCAAACTCCATAAAAAACAGAACCTACTAAATCAAATTCCAGAAGAGAGTTTGTTTGTCTGTAAAATTATTAAAGCTAATCTGGAATATTTAAATGAAAAAACAAGAAACTGCTGCTATCTTTGAGTAAAATTCAAGTCTGTAAATCATGGTAGAAAGGAATAAGAAAAACAACATCTCCCCAGTTGTTTATAACAAGAAAGAACTCGAATTAATTTAGAAATATGTTATGTGTGAAATTTAGGAAGAGGGCTTTTAGGGTTTGGAATGTAGCAAACAAAGAGAGAAGTGCAGAGAGAGTGAGAAACAGACAAAGAGAGAATAAAAGAGAGAAGAGAACACAGAGAGAGACAGAGAACCAATTCATTATTCCTCATTACAGATATAGTTGAAAATAACTGATGCTAAGAAACAATTAGTTAGTTAGTTAAGAACAGATGCTACACATAACAAAACAAATTTATGAAAACTAAAAACATTAAATAAGAAGAATAAATAAATAAGAAGACAGAAACTGTAAAAAGAAATTTAAAAAAAAAAAGATTTATGTAAACCCAGATTAAGAGAGACTAAATCACTTATGCCAACTTCATGAAAGGAGAACCAAATAAAAATAAACTCCATGAATGATCACCTACCAATATTAAGAGATAAGTAAAAATACCTCCGGCTACCGTTGGGTCTTTGAAGAGAAAGACATATCTCTTCTTTCGATCTTCTTCTTCCCTCTTTCTTTGCTCTTCTTTTCTTTCTCTATTCGGCTCTTTACTCCCAATAAACTGAAAAAGAAATAGAATGGAAGAAAGAGGACAGTTTAATTTGTTTTCTATCATCTTCTTCCTTACCTCTTTCTGATATTCTTTTCTTTCCCTCTCCACATTGAAGAGAATGGAGAGTCTCAGATCCATGTCTGCTCGTTCCTGATTTTTTCCCCTTTTTCTCTCTCCGTTATGCTTGTATTTCTCACCTTCTCTCTGGGCAAGGCTTGTGAACAAGAGAGATTGAAATTTAACAGAATGACTAAGTAGTGTTGGGTCTTGAGGAGAAACCCATCTATCTTCTTTTCGATCTTCTTCTTCCTTCTTTCTTTGTTCTTCTTTTCTTTCTCTATTTGGTTCGTTGCTCTCAAGAAACTGAAGAAGAAAAAGAATGATAGAAGGAACCATTTTAATCTTGTTTTCTATCTTCTTCTTCCTCATCTCTTTCCGATATTCGCTTCTTTCCCTCCCGACATTGAAGAGAACGAAGAGTTTCAGACCCATGTCTGTTCTTTCCTATCTTTTTCCCCGTTCTCTCCCGTTGTTATGCTTGTATTTCTCTCCTCTCTGCGCAAGACTTGTGGGCAAGAGATTGAATCTTTCAATACTGTTGGGTCTTTAAGAGAACCCATCTATCTTCTTTTCGATCTTCTTCTTCCCTCTTTCTTTGCTCTTCTTTTCTTTCTCTATTTGGCTCTTTACTCCCAATAAACTGAAAAAGAAATAGAATGGTAGAGAGAGGACAATTTAATTTGTTTTCTATCATCTTCTTCCTTACCTCTTTCTGATATTCTTTTCTTTCCCTCTCCACATTGAAGAGAATGGAGAGTTTCAGATCCATGTCTGCTCGTTTCTGTCTTTTTCCCCTCTTTCTCTCTCTGCTATGCTCGTACTTCTCACCTTCTCTCTGGGCAAGGCTTGTGAACAAGAGAGATTGAAATTTAACAGAATGACTAAGTAGTGTTGGGTCTTTAAGACAAACCCATCTATCTTCTTTTCGATCTTCTTCTTCCTTCTTTCTTTGTTCTTCTTTTCTTTCTCTATTTGGTTCTTTGCTCTCAAGAAACTGAAGAAGAAAAAGAATGTTAGAACGATGACCATTCTAATTTGTTTTCTATCATCTTCTTCCTTACCTCTTTCTGATATTCTTTTCTTTCCCTCTCCACATTGAAGAGAATGGGGGGGGTTTCAGATCCATGTCTGGTCGTTTCTGTCTTTTTCCTGTTTTTCTCTCTCTCTTTTGTGCTTGTATCTCTCTTCTTTTCTCTGGGCAAGGCCAGATCTGAAAACAAAGAACGTGGAAGACTTTTTGAAAGTAAAAGAAAGGAAGAAGGTGGTCTGAAGAGGAGAATCGCACGGTCAGTTTGCTTTAAAGGGAAAATAAAGAAATGCAGACTGCGTTAAAAGGACGCCGACAACGGTCAATTTGTTTTTTAAAAAACTTTTTAAAGAAAAGAAAAAGAAAGAAAAAAGCAGCGTTAAAAAAGTTAAACTACGCGGAGTCCAGGCTTAGGGTGTTGTTTTAAATTTTTGTTATATTTTATAAAAAATTAAAACATTTTTATGATAAAAAACTGTAATTATTAAGAAAGAGATAATAAATTAAAAGTTTTTTTTTTAAGTAAAATTTCATAAATAAGAATGTATGATAAACACTTATTAATTAATTCTAAAAAAATGTACATGATTATTTGACAGAAAAATGAAAAAGACTCCCTTGTAGATGATTTTTTTTATTAATTATTATTGAAAGAAAATAAAAATAAATAAATTTAAAGCAGATAAATATAATTTTACAATAAATTTTAATAATTTATGTTAGAATATAAATAATTAACTATATATATTTTGATTGTATTATATAATTGATTAACTATACATATAATTATGCTTCAAATGTAGATTATGAAATAATTCATAAAGTAAAATGTTTTTATTTAGTTTTAGAAAGTATGAAAATTTATGTATATTCAATGAAAGTTGGTGAGTTCCTCCATATTACTTTAAAAAATTATTAAATTTTGGGTATTTATTATTCAACTTTTGTAAACAGTTGGCATTTAATTATGAAATAAATATTTTATGTAAATAGTTATAAGCTAATGTTGTATTATATTTTATTTAACAACTATTCAACAAAACTATATAGAATATTAATTAATTATTTAAAAAATTATAAAAAAATATCATACTTTTTGGGTTCTCTATATGCATTAATTAAAGCAACAGTATCTCAACCACACATTTGGAAAAAAATAATATCTTTCGTGTATGATAAATATGGACACCAACCACTACATGTCAATTAAAAAGAGAACAAAAAAAAAGATAAAAATGAAGAGGAGCACAGACCATTCAAGTAACAAAACAATGTTATCTATAAAAGAATAAAAAATGCAAAACAAACAACTAGACTATTTTAAATTTTTTGCCTAAAGAGTCACATAATAACATGAGCAATTTATTTTAATTAGCTGAGCAAAAACAAAATATTGGGTACACGATTATTTACCTCATCTTTGGAGTTCGAAATCAACAATAAGCAAATAAAAGTGAGCAAATCAATTTGTAAATAACAAAGATTCGTCGATATTATAATTCAAAGAAGTAAAAAATCATTAGCAAATAAATAGAACATATGGATAATTTCCCATGGGAGCTACGCGTACCAAAATTGAAATATAAAAAAAAATCAACTAGAACCGGGAGTAACAAGCATTAAAAGAGAACAATAAACTTATTTTTTTATGAACAAATAAGATTTTTCTACATTGTAATTTAAATGAGAAGAGAACTAAGCATGTAACAGCCCCGGAAAATATTAAAATGAAATGAGTATTTAAATATATCGAATGCGGAAGCGAGATCAAAATTTCATTTAACATCCCTTACACGAAAAACCAAAAACGTACTTAAAATATAAAAGATTAAACTAACTAAGAAAGAAACTCGAAAATAAAACTATGCGTATGACTACAGAGTCTCTAGGCATCCCCTTCGTCGTCCTCCTGCGGAACGGGCTCGGGAACCATGTCTTCCTGATCTGAAATGGTTAATTAAGGAGTGAGCTACACTAGCCCAGTAAGAACATCACGATATCTCACCGTCACGGAGATAAAGGTGGGTAAAAAAACACAAAAAGACCAATGGAGCATAATTTACAATAAACTCGTTTATTAACAACAAAACCTTTTATCAATAATAAAACTTTGACCATCCACTTACCTTGGTGGAATTTATGAAAACAATATGAGAAAAACAATAACATTATCATAATCATTGAATAATCTAAGCTGTAAAACATAACACTTATCACGCCTCTTGTAATTCAATCATTGTACAACATATCTTTTTCTCATTTACCAGCCTACTAGTATCCGTGGGGGGTCCATAGGGGTTCCCGCTACCCGTTAACCTTTAACATTCATAATCAGTTTCCAGGGCCGTCCCCATACCCCGTCC